CAGGTCTAGTGGCATGGGCTGTAAATATTTGAAGGTTTTACAGCTTTTGGATTTTGATTTAGTTTCTGGGGTTAGTAGCCTCAAAATGGGCTAAAATTTAGTGGGTTGCCTCCAGAGTCATGTCCCATCAGTATGCAACTAACAGACTCTGAATCGGAGGTCATTTTATTAAGTTTTGAAATTTTTGAAAACTCGCTGAAAAGGGCCTTTAGGATTATGTCTTTTAGCATGTGATTTTGGTTTCAAATTCTGGATTTGGATTGGGATTTGGATTTGATTGATTAAATGTCTGTATTGATTTATGATCTAGGCAGATCCTAAAGTCTGACTTCTAGAAAGATCTTAAGGTCTAGAGTAAATCCTAAGGTCTAAAGTCTAGAAGGATTCTAGGATAAATCCTAAGGTCAAGATACTAGGAAGATCCTAGAGTTTGGATTGGTGACTTAGAGTTAGAAATGGTACAAGTGACCTCATACAAAAATGAGGTCAACAAATGGACCCCCAATATGTGTAATAGAACGAAATTGTATTGCACATATTGGTGTTGACCGAGCTTAAAGATCATGTCTAGAAATTTGATCCTAAGGGAATGAAAAGTTCATCCCTAGGGGATCAAGATTTGGATTTGTACTAGGGTAGTGCCACGGAGGGCGTACTCTACGAGTAGTGGATTTATTCCTAAGGGAAAATTCTATCCCTAGAGGAAATAAAAGTTTGGGTGATCGTATAGAAAGGAGGAAATCCTAACTACAGGGGATCGAATTTGGGTTTGATACTACGGTAGTGCCACGAGGGGCGTACTCTACCACTAGTGGATCTAATCCTAAGGGAAGGAGGAAACCTAAACCCTAAGGAAGAGAAAGTGACTGAACTATAGTGGGGCCCAAGAGACTTAAATCCACTACTAGTTAGTCGAGATCCTAGGAGATAGGAAGCACAAGGACTCACACCTACTCCTAACGGATCGGACTTATATTGGGTATTCAATGACTAACCTAGATAGAAAGCACTGGGACTCACATCTAACTAAGGGAACTAGCCAAGGAGATAGTCTGCCATAATCACTAAGAATTCAGCAAAAGCTATCTAACCCGAAACTTAATTTTATATGCTAGGATGGTGCCACGAGGGGCTTGCTACACCATTAGCAGATCTAATCCTAAGGAAAGGAAGCACAGGGACTCACACCTAACCTTAAAGAAAAGAAAGAGTGACTAGACTATGTGGGGCCCAATAGGCTTAATTTCACTTTTAGTCAGTCGAGATCCTAAGAGATAGGAAGCTCAGGGACTCACACCTACTCCTAACAGATCAAATTTGTACTGGGTATTCAATGACTAACCTAGCTAGAAAGCACTGGGACTCACATCTAACTAGGGGAACTAGCCAAGGAGATAGTCTGCCAGAATCTCTAAGGATTTGGCAAAATCTATCTAACCCGAAATTTGATTTTGGATGCTAGGATTGTGCCACGAGGGGCTTGCTCCACCAAAAGCAGATCTAATCCTAAGAAAAGGAAGCTCTGGGACTCACACCTAACCTTAAAAAAAAAGAAAGAGTGACTGAACTATGTGGGGCCCAATAGGCTTAATTCCACTTTTAGTCAGTCGAGATCCTAGGAGATAGGAAGCACAGGGACTCACACCTACTCCTAATGGATCTGGTTTATACTGGGTATTCAATGACTAACCTAGCTAAAAAGCACAGGGACTCACATCTAACTAGGGGAACTAGTCAAGGAGATAGTCTGCCATAATCTCTAAGGATTCGACAAAAGGTATCTAACCCGAAATTTAATTTTGGATGCTAGGATGGTGCCACGAGGGGCTTGCTCCACCACTAGCAGATCTAATCCTAAGGAAAGGAAGCTCTGAGACTCACACATAACCTTAAAGAAAAGAAAGAGTGACTAGACTATGTGGGGCCCAATAGGCTTAATTCCACTTTTAGTCAGTCGAGATCCTAGGAGGTAGGAAGCACAGGGACTCACACCTACTCCTAATGGATCGGGTTTGTACTGGGTATTCAATGACTAACCTAGCTAGAAAGCACAGGTACTCACATCTAACTAAGGGAACTAGCCAAGGAGATAGTCTGCCAGAATCTCTAAGGATTCGATAAAAGCTATCTAACCCGAAATTTAATTTTGGATGCTAGGATTGTGCCACGAGGGGCTTGCTCCACCACTAGCAGATCTAATCCTAAGGAAAGTAAGCACTGGGACTCACACCTAACCTAAATAAAAGAAAGTTTGATTTTGGTTTTGAATTTGAATGATTTTTAAATTTTAGATTTTGATTGGAATTGACATGATTTGAGGTTGATTGAAATTATGATTTTAGATAGAGATCTGAATTTGGAAGATTTTGAATTTGAATGTGGAGAATTTGATTTGATTGAATTTAGATTTTGGTGAATTTAAGTTTGAAGAGTTTTGAAATTGATTTAGTTTTGACACTCATCTGGCATGGTACTTCCTGAAGAGCCGCCCCAATATTTAAGAATATCGGGTGGCATTCTCCAGGGTTGATCAGTTAATGTTTGAAATTTTCTCAAAGACCATCTCTACGACAAAAGGACAGTCTTGAGTTCGTTCAAGCTCCTCCACTGATTTCTCGGTAGGCTAAGATATGCATCCAAAGAACCTAGACCAAGTATCCTACTTGAAAAGTTCTAAGTTACGCTATCTTATCACGAGCATAGACCACTCAGGATTTGTACGATTTGGAGTTTTATTGAGCCTTAAAGAAAAAGCCCTGCAAGGCCTCAAACTCCTCAAATTGGAGTCGGGCACTCTGCTCAGTCATGGTTTTATTTTGAATGGCAATTCCCAGCATTACAAAATACTCCTCTAATTGGGTTGATCGTGGACCCAGCATAGAGTGTAATTTTGTTACAAAGGCTTAAAAAGAAGAGATGCCTTTGTGCAAGGACTTACAAACATTTCTCAAGGACAGGATTTGATTTTTTAACAAGAGTTGAATATTCATTCTTGTTATTAAAAAAATTCCTCTAACCATTTGGACCCTGTCGGAATGATAAACGGGATCAAATTTATCAAATAATGTGAGAAGTAGAGTTGACTCCAACTAACCTTGAAAAGGTTTAAGGATTTAGGTTTTGTTGATCCAAACCAAATTTTGTAGAAATTAAACTGTGTTCTCCCATAAATAGATTTTGAATTAAAATCAACTTCAAAGAGTTTAGGTCGAAGAATGAAATTCAATCTTTTCAATTCTCTTGCATATGTTCTTTTATTTGATAGAAAATTTATGCATTGTGAAGAATCTGAATTCAAGATTTTCAAAGTCAAGTACTTGAAGGAGATCGGGTATTTTGAGATCTAAGGATTTAAAGGAAGGAAGCCATCTTACTTTTCTTCTCTTTTTCTGGTGACACTGTTTGCGTATCTTTTGACTTTTGATGCACTTCGTGCATTTCTTGATTTTTGGCGCATTCACGCATCTTTTGATTTCAATTGAATTCGAGAAGAGGCTCCACTTTCTTTAAATACCTTAAATTGATTGATCTTTTTTTATTTTGAATGTTAAGATTATATCTCAAGTATTAGAGAAGAAAATTCGTTCTCTTATACAAGGAAAAATAATCCTCAAAGCACATCCAATTTTTGAAAAAGTATCAACTTGACTTTTGAAAATCATTAAACAAATTTTAGACATGCGAGAATTGCTTATTAAGATAGAAAATTGCTAGAATATTGATAAAATTTTCATTTCTGAATTCAACTTAAGTTTGAGGTAGACTTTAATTTAAAAGTTAATTCAACCCACGAGAGCGGTGGGAGGGAGGGACATACAAACATTTGATGGAGTCAACTACTACTCTCTCCTGCTTAAGACTTTAAGTAGAGGTCAATTTTTACTAAAAGGAGGAATCAACTATCTTGAAAATTTGAATCTAGTACACTTGAGAAATTGGAAAATTCCCTTAAGAAGTTGCAAGTCTAGGTGGCAAGACCCTTGTCAACATAGAATTGAATTCCTACAATCTCTTTAAAGAGAGAGACTGTTATAGGGTCTGCAACGTCCCTAGAAAGCACTCTCTAAGCAATCGCCACCAAAAAAAATCTTCGTGAAGGTGCCGCTTGAGATTTTTAAGCCAACAGAATTGGTAGACTCCTATATAACTGTTAGCCCTATATGCATACCAGCAATCTTCATATCCATTATGGAGTGAATAAGCTCAAGACAATCCCCACTAGCCCCTCTTTCAAAGTTGATGGCTGTTTAGTCATAATCTTACAAAAACAAATTTTGGTAAATTGCTCATTCCACTGAATTGAGTTGTTCAAAAACTTGCTCACCTTGGCATTCTCCACCTCATCCACATTAACAAACGTTATCTATATAGCAATGTTCCAGTCAAGAATCCAAGTGTCCTGCAGCGCATCAATTTGCTGACCATTCATAATGGTCCACCTTATAATAGGATGCAACGCCCTTGTACCATATTGGTTCACCTTCCAAGTAGTTGATACATGCTTTCCCTGTATATTATCATATATATTCATCCCATATTTTGCTCTCAACAATTTAAACAAAAGAGAGTCTGTGTTCTGGATCAAGTCCCACATGGTACGGGCACAGAGAGCTCCCCTCCATCGGGTAAGACTGTGGAACCCAAGTCCCCCCTGTTTCATCAATTGACACAGTTCCTTCCACCCAACATAGTGCATACCTTGATTATTAGTGTCCTTCTACCACAGGAACCACCATCCCAGTTTCTTAATGACATTCAAAACTCCATTCAGAATTGCTGTCTAAGTCATAGCATATATAGGAACATATAGAAGATAAGATCTGATCAAGAGCGCTCTACCCACCAAGGATAAATGTTTCATTCCCCACAAATTAATCATCTCATGAGCAGTTTTGACCATCTTGGAGAAGTCAGCGGCTACAAGTTTTCTCATGACCAAGGGAAGCCCAAGATACTCCAAAGAGTTAACCTTCCTATACCCCATCAACCCTTCAATAGTCCTATTCTTCCTGTTGTGACATTTTTATTAAAGAGGATTGCCGTCTTCCCATAATTGATCCTCTGGTCCATCCAGCCACACTACTCCTCAAGCAAGCCCCTAATCCGACTAGCATTTCTTCAGGTAGCATCTGCAAACACAAGAATGTCATCAACATATAATAAGTGTGAAATACACACATAATTCCTTGCTTCCTGAATCTCGAGCTGCTCCCCCCTCTGTTTGATTGCTTTGGACAACAATTTAGAACATAGAATTAATAGGTAAGGAAACAAGGGGCAACCTTGCCTCAGCCTGCTTCTGGCATTAATCCATTGAGACCTATTCCCATTAATCATAAGTGTAAATTTTGGTTTGATAATTCATTGAATAACCCAAAAAGTAAATTGATGTTTGAATGACATTAAACACATCACCTTATATAACGTATCCCAAGACATATAATCATACTCTTGTTCTATGTCCACCTTAATTGCAATCAGCCCAGATTTCTGAGTCGAACCTTTAAATTTAGTCATCATATCCTGAGCCATCAATCCGTGACTGGAAATAGATCTGCCCGAAACAAAGGCCCCCTTTTCTTCACTAATAATATAACCCAACACAGGTTTGAGATGATTTATCAGCACCTTAGCAACAACCTTATAAAAAGATTGGCACGGACTTTTAGGCCTAAACTTGGACGGCATATTGGCATTGTCCATCTTAGGAATAAGCACCACCAAGGTTTCTTTCTAGCTCTGGCACATTGAGGTAGTAATAAAAAAATGTAGAATAGCATGGATAACCTCACCTTTAATAATTCCCAGTAAAATTTCAAGAATGAGGAAGTAATACCATCAATCCCCGGAGCTCTATTATTTACCAAGCTAAAAACAGCTTGCTGAATCTCATGTTCTGAAATTTCAGCCTCTAGACTATGATTAAATTGCTCAGGAATGATTTCTTCATAACGAAACTAAGGCCAATTCTCTATGGAGACCTACCTATCTTTCCACTTCTTCATGAAAAAGTTCCAGAATTCCTCCTGTACAAGCTTGAGCTCAGCAATCTTATCTCTATTTGGATTTAGAACTTCGATAATTTTGTTCCCCCGCCTACGAGCAGATGCAATCGAGTGGAAGACGTGCGAGTTCATATCACCTTCTTCAATCCATCTAGCCTTCTCTCTCTGCTTCCACCAAGTAGCCAATCATGCCAAGGTGGCATTTAATTCGACCGCCTTCGGTCTATGTTCTTGTTCCTAGTCATCATTCAAACCATCAATAGAGCATTCCAACAATTTAAGTTCCTCAATACATCCTTCCAGGGAGGCTTTCAGCTCACCAAACTCTTTTAATCGATTATGACTCCAAAAGAATAAAGCCTTCAGAGTTCTACTGCATTTACGGTTCAACACCTCATCGGGTTGCCCATAATCCAGCTTGGTCCAATTCTTCCAAACCAACTTCCACATGAAGGGGTATGTCATCCAGATATCTTCAAACCAAATCCATCTGCATCCATGTCTTGGCATTTCTATAAATAAATTCAGCAGTAATGGACAGTGGTCCGAAGCAAGCCGAATAAGGTGCTGAACCGTTGCTAAGGGAGCAAGTCTTAATCCTTCTGATTTTATCAAAATTCTATCAAGCCACACCCAAATCTTGTTGTTACCTCTCTTATTGTTCGAACAAATGTATTTGGGTCTCAAGAACCCCAAATCATGCATGTCATTGTCCACAAGAAATTCTGACATCTCCTGAGCCCCCACCAAGAAGCTATACCTCCTATAACCTTTTTCTCGCTTTGATTTAAACAAAAGTTGAAATCTCCCCCCACAATCACTTAGAGATCCCCATAAATGCATGAGCAAATAGTGTTCTAGAGAATACGTCGGCCATAATAAGCTTTGTTAGCATATACCAATGCAATAATCCATCTCTGCATATTAGGTAACATAAGTTGTCCAATAAGAACCTGTTCCATATTAGAAATTACATCAAATTGAATAGTATCTCATCTCCATAAGGCAAGAAACCCACCAGATCTTCCAACCGCAGGGGAGTGAAAGAAATCCTAGCATAGGTAACATCACCTATAATGATTTCCCAGTAAAACTTCAAGAAAGAAGAAGTGATACCGTTAATGCCAGTCCCCCTTGGGCATCGAGAAGAGTTCGCCAAGCCCCTACAGAATAGCTAGGAATTGCACAGGATGGCCTTCTTAAACACCCTCCACTAGAAGAAATTTTTGCGTGGGTGTAGTTTCAATTTATCAAACCAAGAAAAATAAAAATCTCCCACCCCAACCATTGGATGATAGGTCATAGCAGTCACGATCATGCTCGACCGAGAGTAGCAGAGTTCAGGACAATCCACCCCATCACTACAATTAGTAATGATATCATTAGTCCTTTGGCAAAAATCTTCCCAAAACTTTCTTCAACCACATCAGTATCCCACTGCAAAGAATGATTCAAAACGTGACTGAGCTTGGCATTATCCACAGCCTCCACATTAACGAAGGTCGGCCAATGAGAAACCCTAGAATCCAAAATACATGTGTCCTGAACCACATCAATAAGCTGACCATTCCCAATCTTTCATCTAAGGATCGGGCGGAGGCATGAGCCCCATCAAGAACCACCTTCCAAGCTACCGAAACATTCTATCCCTAAGAATTGCCCCATATATCCATCTCGTATTTAGCCGCCAACATTTTGTGTAGAAGTGAATCAGGATCTTTGATCATATCCCATACCAACCGAGCACAAAGGGCACCTTGCTACTTTTTGAGACAATAAAAACCCAGCCCACCTTGAATTCTGGGTTGGCATAATTCCTGCCAAGTAACATAGTGCATGCCTATTCTATTAACATCCTTTTCCCACAAAAATTTCCTAGCAAGTTTCTCAATGGATTGTAGAAGTCCATGGGGAACCGTGATATGAGTTAAGAGGTACATGGTGGCAGATAAGAGAGATGACCTGATCAAAAGTGCTCTACCTGCCAAAGATAAATGCTTTTCCCCCACAAGTTTGTTTTGTCATGAGCACTTTTAATTAACTTCCAAAAATTAGAACCAGTTGGCTTTCTCATCACCAAGGGTAATCCAAGGTATTCAAGGGAGTTTGCCTTTCTATAACCCATCAACTTGGCTATCATCCTCCTTTTCCAATTTGGACACTTCTTATTAAATAGGATAGCTGACTTACCACAATTGATCTTCTAGCCCGTCTAGTCATAGTATTCATCTAGCAATCTCATAATCCATATGACATTATTCTGGGTAGCTTCTACAAACACAAGAATGTCTTCAGCGTATAATAAGTGAGAAATCTGATTAGAATTCCTGGCATTTTGGATTCCAAGCAGTTATCTCCTCTGCCTAAAAGCTTTGGTTAAAAGCTCTGAATAGAGGATGAATAGATAAGGAGACAAGGGGCATCCTTATCTTAGGCTGCTCTTAGCCATGATCCATTGAGTCCTACTCCCATTAATAAGGAGTGTAAATTTTGGCCAGGTGATGCATTGAGTTACCAAAATAATAAATTGATCCTTGAACCCCTTAAGTTTTATAATTTTTTCCAAAGTTTCTCAAGCCATATAGTCGTATGCATGCTCCATATCAACTTTCAAAGCCATCAAACCAGATTTTTGAGCCATGTACTTAAACATACACATCAACTCTTGAGCTAATAGGCCATGGCTAGAGATACATCTACCCGGAACAAAAGCCCCTTATTCTTCACTAACAATACTGCTTAGCACTAGCTTCAGCTGATTAATCAACACCTTAGCCACCACTTTGTAAAATGATTGCCAAAAACTAATTGGCCTGAACTTTGATGGCATATTGGCCTTATCTATCTTCGGAATAAGAACCACCAAAGTTTCTTTCCAGCTTTCACACATGGAATTAGTACAGAAAAAATTAAGAATGGAATGGGTAACATCACCCTTGATGGTTTCCCAATAAAATTTCAAGAAAGAAGAAGTGATACCGTCGATGCCGGGAGCGCGATTATTCCCCAAACTGAAGACCGCCTGTCAAACCTCCTGTTCAGTGACCTCCGCTTCCAGCATAGCATGCAAATGTTTAGGGATCATGTCGTCATTCAGGAATTTAAGACAATTTTCCATAGACACCTACCTATCCTTCCATTTTAGCAAAAAGAAATTTCAAAACTCATCCTGAATGAGCTTCGACTCAGTGATCCTGTCACCATTCTGATTTTGAACTTCCACAATACTGTTACCCTTCCTGTGAGCTGAAGTATTCAAATGGAAGAAGTGAGAGTTGGCATCTCCTTCTTTAATCCATTTTTTCTTCTCTCTTTATCTCCACCACATGGCCCTCCGAGCCAGAGTGTTATTCAGCTCCATTTCCTTCTATCGGAGCTCAGCTTCATGTTCTTCCTTTAGTCCATCTTCCAAGCATTCCATCAATTGAAGTTATTCAATATGGCCCTCCAAAGAAACTTTTAATTCCCCAAGTTCTTATAGACAGTTACGGCTCCAAAATTATAAGTCCTTAAGCATCCTCAAACACTTGTGGTTCAGAATTTCATCAGGATTTCCAAAGTCCTGTTTAGCCAAATTCTTCCAAACAAGCTTCCAAGTTACTGGATACGTCATCCAGATGTCTTCAAATCTCTGCCATCTACTACCATTTATAGGGATATTGGAAGCTAAGTTCAGCAACAATGGACACTGGTCCGAAGCAATACGGATGAGGTGCCTAACAGTGGCCAAGGGGGCCAACCGAAGCCCCTCAAAATTCATCAGTATTCTATCTAGTCTCACCCAAATTTTACTATTGCCACTCTTATTATTCGACCACGTGTATTTGGGTCCCAAAAAACCCATATCATATAGGTCATTATCCACCATAAAATCCACCATTTCTTGGGCTCCAGACAAGTAGCTATATCTCCTAGCCCCCTTCTTCTCACATTGATCCGAAGAGCAGTTGAAATCTCCCCCCATAATGACAAGGAGATCCGAGTTAACCAAAGAGACAATATTACTCAACAAATCCTGGTGGGTGTGGTAGTCTTTGTTGGCATTCACAATAGTAATAACCCATTTTTAAGATTTAGTAAAACCACCTAACTAATCAAAGCCTGATCTGTAGCCATACAAACTTCAAACTGATAGAAAATGGCCTCCACATAGCAAGCAAGCTTCCCGATCTACCTATCCCAGGGACATGGAAGAAGTCCAACCCACGACCAATAAGTCTATCCACATAATTTCTGCTGATGTCTTCAATCATAGTTTCAATCAAGCCAACAAAACACACCTCATTGTTACCAATGAGATTTCGCAAGTAGTAACCCATTTGCTTCTTACGGGAACCCCTGCAGTTCCAAAACAGAAGGGACGACATTAAAAAACTGAACGGGAAGCATCCCCGCCGCCAAGATCACCTAACATCTCCTTCTTTCTTTTCCTAGGGAGCTCCTAAATGGGTCCTAATTGACTAAGTTCCTTGTCAATTTTACATCTATTAGGACTAGGAAAAACTGATTTAATACCAGCTGTAAAAGGTAATGGCTTCTTAAAGCCCATTTTTTGTTATTTATGGGTAGGCTTCAACATGCTTAGGGGCACCTTAGTATGATTCAAATCAACCTAGTTAGGTAAATTCAGCAGCTGCTTATTTCCTTTGTTCTCGTGAGTCCTCCCCTGAGGACAGACACTTCTTCTACCATGTGGGG